CGCTAACAAGGCACTCTATCATTGTTACATATACTGTCGGTATTAAAAATCAGTGGCAGTCGGAGAAAATTAGGTCTATATTCGGTTATTGGTTCCCACATCGGAATTACTTCTTGATTCTTGGTTTGTTTGGCCGTGATTTAAGGTATAATTCACTCGTAGACAAAGCTAAACAGTCGTAAAAAGAGGTTTGCGGCCACGAAGATTAAGCAAATGACCTCGAACTTCTCTGATTTTTTTTCCAAGAACGGGAGATGTTTAATATTTAAATATGGTTTGTGGTTAACTTAATAATACGTATTATTAAGGTATTTCATAAGCGAAAATTAAAAATGGCGAGGATAAAAAGCAGTGATCGATATCATGAAATCAACAAGGTATGTGAACAGAGCATAAAGACCAAATAAGTGGGATCAGGAGCCTGGAGGAGTAAGCATCCCCTGATGACCGGTTACACTTGATCACTTAGAGGGAACATTCCGTAGCCAAATTCAGTACAAAAATAAGGGCCTAACAGTTGGTATAAATGAATCAGCCAAAATGCGACCCGTGATAGGTTATATTTACTTACAAGGTCATTATAACGACCACATATAACTTTCGAAATGCTGACTTAAAACACGCTTGTTGAAATTCCCGCAACATCAACTGATGTGTGAGTGGCATGTCTCGGTTTTAAATCTGATCGTTCTCAGAGAAAGCTCTTGAGTAACGAATAAGTTTCGGGACATACAAATATAACAGTGCGACATTTTACTCTGGACACAACGTTGTCCAGGCGTTTTACTATCATTTCTTATTGTGATGTCGAAAACTATGCACTTGGTGGTATTTTTTATCCAAGGGTCACATGTTAAACTCACAATCATCTCTTTTAGAAAAAAAAATAATCACATGTCGCACTTAACTACTTTCGGTTTCATTAAAATTGAATGGACTCTCTGTGGGAGCTAAAGCAAGTCCATGCCTAGATTCTTTAACTGCTGAATTTCTGAAGTTTGCAAATAAACGGAATGGCTGTGAACATAAGTAACTTCTTAATCATTAAAGCTACCGTCTTGCATTCTATTGATATTTCAAGTTGAAGACTACACTCTGCAATTCCATCGTCTAAACTGTTGCTTCCAAATTTGTCAATTACAAACAAATTTTCAAGTTTTCTTGTTCGCCTTCTTTCAACTACAGTCTAGCTGGACACGTCATTACTGGCGATGTTGATAAAGTTGCAAATGCATCCTAAGGGTCCTAAAAACAAGGACTCTAGTTCTTTCCATTGGAGACAAAGTAATTTCAATTATGAATTCTGTCGAAGATTGTGCCGAACATTGAGCTAAATATGAAAAGGAAGACCTGACCACTTTATTAGATTTATCAAAGGAAAAATGGCAACCGTCTATCCTTCCCTTGTCTTTGTTTGTAAGACTCATACATGTATATAACTGTATTTTGGAAGAATGGTTTTAATTCCATGTCTGGTAGTCCTATATATACTCGCAGTTCACTTTCCAAGGATGAAATTCTTCAAAATCACATTTCAGTATTTCATACTTTTAACACTTCATTGGACTAGGATGAGTTCGATCTATCCTTATGCTACCTTTATTGGATTCCTAAACTTCATAAAAACCCTTATAAACAAATGTGTATTATCGGGTCCAGCAAATGCTCTACCAAGCCCCTATCTTTACTCCTTATAAAAAATAACTGCCCTTTATAATTAACGTTTACGACATCAAAAGGCCTAGATTTTAATTTATCATGAGGAATAGGTGCAAAGTGAAGAAAATTCGTACCTTTTGATGTTATAGACCTTTGAAAAGTTTGGTGATTTTAGATTTTCTTAAAGATCTTTAGAGTTCTTAGGTTCCACATCTGATTTCCACCACTTCTGGAATATGATGAAGCAAAGAACTTCTGAGGTTTCTAATAAAGAGAAGTTTTATTATAGTTGTAATATAAGTCTTACAAACAGAGACAACATTGGTACCAGTCATGTCTGCTGGAACCATTACGTATTGTTTATGTAGTCTCTATTTCTTCTTATGACATTCGGTTTAGTGGAAAAGGTAGAATAGACGTTTGCATTTTGCCTTTTAAACTTCTAAAACAATTAATATACAATACTCTGACAGTGGTAAGTTCTTTCTTTTCATATTTAGCCCAACGCTTGGCAGAACCTTCGACAGAGAATTCAATATTGAAATTAATTTCTGTCTCCAATGGAAAGAACTAGGCTCCCTGAATTTTGGATCCTTTAGAATGATTGATTTCAGGTCTTCATGTGCAGCTTTATTTACAACACCACTAATAACATGTCCAGTAAGACTGTAGTTAAAAGGAGAACGAGCAAGAAAACTTAAGAGGACTTTGATTTAGATGTTCAGTATCTAGTCACTGTAAAATATGTTTGTAATTGACAAATTTGGAAGCAACTGTTTGGAAGAAGGAATTGCAGGATGTAGTCTTCAATTTGAAATATCGTGGAATGAAAGACTGGGTTTTTTATGATCAAGAATGTTACTTATGTTCGCAGCATGAACCGACGGGTAGAGTCAGGATTACCTTCCGACAAACATGGAAGCTTAAAAAGCTTATGCCAAGCTTAACTTGTATTCAGCAGTTGAAGAATTTATGTATGGCGTTGTTTTAGCTTCTTCTGGTGGTGCATTCAATTTCAAGGAAATCGAAAGCAGTTAAGTGCGAAATGTAATGAGGACCTAATTGTTTACTGACGTAAGGTAGTGTGAATCAGAAAAACATGTATAATTGGTTTATTGTGTGATCGATGGCCATGACTACGCTTACGTCTAGGTGTATTGTTAAAAAATCCCACCTCTTCACAATGACATTGTGGGCTTGAAGGATTCATTTTTTGTGGCCGTTGCAACGTTAGGGAAAGGCCGTGCCTAGTTTTCTGATCCAGCATTCTTCAAGTTGTCTATGGTACGGAGTTCTAAGTGGGGCTATTGGTTGGATAAAACAAACCTTCAATTCTACAGAAACTGCAATTCTGTTATGTCACAGTAAACAGAATTATATATGACATTGAACTCATGGCATGGTATGTACAATAAGGACATTGAACTCATTACATAGTATTACAATAACAACATTGAACTCATGGTATAGTATGTACAATAAGGACATTGAACCCATTGTATAGTATGTACAATAATGTACTCATAACATAGAATGTACATTTGAAGGATAGATACTAGAAGATTTGATTCAAAATTGGTGTACACTCAATGATTTGTTTCTACTGAAGTACATAATTTTTGCTTAAAAACCCAACCTTTTAGTATACCCTATTTAAGATCGATATCATACAAACAAATAATGGTAGTTTGATTTTGAGACAGTGCATTCCTACTACAATTCATAAAGTCTCAGACATACTGTATATCTGCTTAATCAAGTAAAATGTAAACCCTCGGAGTTTCGTGTCCGTCTAGCCCACACGGTTCTCTTTACCCGTAAACTACTTTACTAAAGTCTCGCATTAAGATTAACGTTGCAGACAATCTGTAATTACTAGACTAATATTAATCAATCACAGGGATTCTCCTCAAAAGCTTTTAATCCAAAGATTAAATACAGTACATGCCGCTTTATAAAATCAGATACAGTATATTAAAGAAGAATTTGGAAAGGGATATCAAAAACGGTCAAATATCCTTCATGTAGCTTCTCATTGACCTTGGCTTTCTTTTAGCGTTGCTTTCCATCTCTGGTCCTTGGAATCATTTGCACTCCTTATAAAGAGAAAAGAATATTAGAGTTGCCTTTGTTGTTCTTTAATCTTAGGTTTCTTGTAATTGTTTGCGATGGCTTCCTCCTCTATTTCACTTAAGATGTCAAGGACGAAGGTTCATCCGTTAAATCTTGTCTGTTTGGTGCAGTGTCATTATTCAAATCTCAGTCAATGATAACGCATTTCATTTTTTCACAGATTGAAGGGAAAATGACACCAACATCCTGGATTTCTCCCTGTTAACAACTATCAAAGAACTTGATTGGATTAGAATTTACGGCTTTACATCAGCAGCTTTTAATCAAATCTTTTTTTCTTTTTTTCGACAAGAGTTCTGTCGAGTATAAATATATCCTGTCACACGATTTGGAAGGTTATCTGTGCAAATTTAGCATGCTACGACTGGTAAACATCATCTATTATTTTTTGGTGCTTCTCTTTAATGTCTAGACGTTACTGAATTTCGTGTTAATCCTTACACAGAAAAGTTTCACCTTTACTTGGAATCACTATGTCCTGAACGACACAAGGCCATGGTATGAAGTTCCCAGTCTATCTAAAGAAACCATCTAAACGTTACAAGATATAGTTTTTCTGACACTGCAGAAAGTTATTTTTTTAACCATTTAGACCAAATATTCAGGCGTCCTTTGACAAATGCCTTGTCTTTAGGTCCTTCATATTTTTTTGTCATATATAATTAGTCCTTGATCTTTAATCAATTTCTGCAAACCTTTTTTCTGTGGAAGATTTATACATGTCTTCAACCTGTGTCATAATCTTGCTCCGAGGTCAAAAACTGAGAATCGATTTGATACTGAATACCTTGATATCATTTGCGTTTGTGTTAAAAATTGCAGGTTTGGGCAACATTCATATGCATACACACACCAAAATTTAGATTGATTATCAAAATTATGTATATTGATTTGTTTTATTTGAACTTGGATTTTTTAATCTATTTCAGTTCATGGCTTCGAAGTCTGCATGCACCATTAGACAAAACCAAGGGTCATGTGAATTGGAAGACTAACATTTTTGTACAATCTATAATGTTTTAATGCTTTTCTAAAGTCATTTATGATTGAAGCTCATTAATTTCTTGTTCTTTGGAGTTCTACTTAGTGTTGAAAAGAATCATTCTATATACAATGTACTTATGTCTTTCAAGAATGTGATGGATAACGTAAATTATAGAATGTGAACGTTTACATTGCATTTTCTTTGAATAAAAAATAAGTCCTGATACCACTTTGGTCTTGTTTATTCATGGTAAAAAAACACTGGAACAGATGACCATAAATGAAGACTATATGTACACAAAATTCACAATGAAACCTTAACATTTCACTTCAAACGTAATGAATAAATCTACACTAATACCTGAAAATCTGTACTCTAGTACACAAAAATTCACAGTAGTAAATGAAACAAAGTGCATGAACATTTGGCAAAGTTAACGGGTCAGAACGTGATGTTTTGCGAGAGAAAATAACATATACAGTTATTTCTAACCTCCCAATGGGTGCCTCAAATTTCCTCAAGGCGAGCAACTTATTTTAAAGCAGAAAAACTAAGAAATGTGTTAAAGTCACGACAAACCGTACCAAAACTTATCTGTGATTGAGAGCCATCTACATAAATAGCAACGCTTCGGAGAGTGGAAGGAGAAAAAACAATTCATTACGCCCATACCAACAGATGGAGACCGTACATCTTAATTTCAATGATTTTTCTTTAGATAAAAAAGAATGACTGTAGTCATGCTACCTTAAATCAATTACAGAAAAAAACCATTTCTGAGCATGCGTACTTTTTATTGGTGGTGCCATTCGAGGCTATCACAAAAGGTACATATAAGGATTGATTTTTAATTTTTTTTTAACCACGATTTCTTGGACAATGAGGTCCTTTTCATGCAAATATTGTATTTAGTTAATCGTCAAAAAGTATATGTTTATCATTCTATAAATGAAATATTACTCAGAATTGAAAAAAAAAATTATATAACAATTTACTAAGTTGACTAGCAATGCACAATTAGCATCATTAATATATACTATGCTGGTATTGCATAGAATCATAATAATAACAAAGAAAAACTAAATAATGAATGAAAAAGGTTAGCTACAATATGTATATTAATAGATCATGCCAAGTCATTCCTAAGTTCTTACACTTATCATTTTAGAGGATCAGAGTATATAATATACAGGAATTTACTACTTCCATATATTTGGAAATGACCGTCCATTTGCACCAATATTCATATATTAACCAACATGAATAAATAAATCCGACCATGGGTATTTATTATTAGAAAAGAGTTACGTGTCAAATTGATCACGTTTGGCACTTTTGCAACAAAGTTTTGGAAAAGAATTCGCAGTGTTAATGTTTTTCAATTTCAGAATTTATAGAACTTAAAAGTAGCCTAACTTGGCATGACCTCCAGTATATTTATTGCACTTGTATCAATGCTTACTAAAAACAGCATGAGATCTATAACAAAAAACGTGACGACTTAATTCGGAAGTGGTGAACATTTTTTTTTCATATTTACCTCTACACGACAACAACTATATAACTCTCAGGTTCTACCAACTACAGTATTTCACAAAGTCCGATAAATGAAAATCAGAACTGAAGGTATTGTATGGTCGTTCACAACCAGGATATGTACAGGTACAACAGTGTCAATTAGGAACAACGGTCTTGTATTATGCAACACAGATATAGGATTAAGGGTTTTTGAATAAGGTATTCAACACTGTCATAAATATTTTCGAACCATAATTTCAATCAGCTAGTAATGCTCACCTGTGCACCAATTCTTCTAAGATGACGCTAGAGATGTATATCTGTATTTACCTTTTCCCTGGTTGGGGAATTTTAGATAAATACATCATGAGGTCTCTAGATCACGAGAATAGGAGAAGTGGTGCACCAAACAGTTTTCTACAGTCCTAACAAGTTAACGTTACATAATACTGCGAAGCTAAAACAATTTTCTTCTTCAATTCCATAGCTATCAATTCTTGAATAAATTTTTTCTAAACAAAAAACAAAAATACTGATAGAATGGAATTCTTCTTGGAATACATTTGTTATATTTTTAAATCTCTCAGAAGAGTCACTAAACACGGAGGGAAATATGTGAATAAAATTAAACACTAGCGGAGAAGTTCTTTGAAGAAAATATTCAATATTTTATCACCAGGTAATGGACTAAAGAAGGTATACAGTGTATTTCTTATACAGCGTGACTAAATATTCAGAACTTCCACCTACGGTTTCTTTATACAAACACTGACTGTGATGAAATGTAGTATGCATTAACAATAAAACATTAAAACAATTGATTTATTCTAAGCACTTAATCATCACAGATCGGCAAAACTAAATAAGACTTCTGAAAAGTCCTAATCAATATCTACCGAGCTTATTGATTCATCTGACTGTTTTGCATATGCAAACTCTTGAGAGTTAATTCAAGAGACATAAAGAATAAGATCAAAGGGTACTCAATGGTACCAAACGTGTCATTTCGTAAGGCTCAAGTGACCGAAAAGTGGTAAAATACAAATAAAATGTTCTATGAAAATAACAATCTCTTCTTTAAGCTTAAATACAAGGACATTTTGTGTCAAAAAATGGTAAGAATAAAAAATTTTCCAGTGAAAATTGAATGTGTTAAAACCTCATTATTGCAACTAGATAGCTAACAATAAAGTGGCGTTTTAATAATTGATTATGTTTTCAAAATCACGAAATTACAGGCCCAATACGGCTTCTGTGTTTATTCACTTTTTTATAAATAGTAACTGACGAAATCGTAAGCATTATTCTTCAGGTCAGATAAAATAGCTCCTCCTAAATGTTCAGAACTTTACACCCCGATTGCTTAGGAGAACGCTTTTAGGGTTCTTCTGTTGTTACTTTTCAGCTTATACTATAAATGTGACATTTTCATCAAGCAAAAATAAGAATCCAAACGAGTGCTCACAAGAGATACGTAATGTCATATTATAAATTATTCATATGTGGACTCCATGGGAATTCGTCACCCCGTGGAGTTTAAAACAACTTTTAAAAGGTAAAAAAGCAAATCATCGAATACGCTGCGCTTTACAAAATACGAAGGGAGGTAAAAATTAACTGCCTTTGGATAATTATCATAAAACTTTCTGGAACACTGTTCCAGGAATTCTTGGCAGTGGGGTAATTTTGGCAATATTTTGTAGACCGATACACCTGCACATCTGATGTGTGTATTCGAATATTACGATTAACATTTTTTGTTTTAATATTGCCTGTTATGTGTATTGAAATAAATTTGATAGTCTAAATGAGGCTGAGTATTATATTTTTGTAAGATATTTGGCTCAGATAAAAATTTTGGGCATCAAATCCAATCATTTTCTGAATAAAGGGTATGTGATTATTTTGTCACAAATATAACTTTAATACATTTTTTTTATTTTCTTATCAAAAAGTACGTTTTTGTTCATATATGTTTTTCATCCCCTGTTTTCTTTAAATTTAAAAATCGCCTTAATAGGAATCATAGACCAGATGGAATGTTTTATATGTCCCTTTAAGGAAACTGTCCTGTTTAATCTTGAACTTTCATACTCTTTGATTAACTTAATCACTAGTATAGCGGAATATTTGTTACAGGCACTGTTTACAAAGTCTTAAAAAAGATTTCTGTACAATTTCATTGTTTACATAATCCACAGTTACTGGGAGCTGAATATATGAAAATTAAACTTAAGAAAATTTTTCTTAAAATTGTAACTTCTTATTGCTACAACATAACACAGATGCATATTGTTTTGCATATATCCATTCTATATAAATCATATGAAATAGATAGAACTAACAAGAATCGTGGACGTTTCATGACATTACACCTGTCTTAGACTTCCGTCTCGAACTGTTCGTTTCGCAGGTACCCGTTTGATGACATGTCTACCTTTATGACGTCACAATTAGGAGTACCATCTTGGCAGGGATACATCAAATACTGACTTTTCACTAACTTGAGGAGTTTTTGCGCGGTTAGTCATACATTACTGTTATCGTCACTCATCTGGTTGGCGTGTTTAAATAGTGGTTTGCTTCTGTAATGAGTCCAAAGTTGAAGTATTATTTCGCTAACTAATACGTCATTGGCATTTTTTCCTACAAGTCTTAAGACGAAAATTCCGTCTTGTCTCAGGTATTGCTCGGCAAACTTAACAGACATCTTTTTGTCAAGTTCTGACTTGTAGCAATCATTAATGCGCAAAAATTTCTTAAGATATCGTACTCTGTGCTGTCTAAATATCATTGTATAACACCATATAAGGAAATTAGCGGAACTCAACACTGCAACAAACACTAGCCAAAACCAAATGAAAATGAATATCTTTTCATTAAAAAGATTAATTGGCAACACACACTGGACGGTGTATTGTTGCACGGTTGCAAGTCTTCGTACTTTAAAATCACAGAGAGTTATCCGAGGGAATCGCTCAGAATCCACCATCTCCGTTCCCTCGGCCAAATGCTGCATCACCTCTAACCCATAAGCATTGTAATTTGTTCCCAGAAACTCATTGAGGATGAATAGTTGACCGATTGCATTAGTCATATACAACAATTTAATTATCATGTATATAGTAACGAGATAATTCCCGTATCTTTTACCGCAGACAATACAACAATACTTGGATATCGTCTGTCGGAGCCTTATAAAGCATCCCGATCGGTATTCCCTGGCGTTTTCTAACCACCGGTCCATGTAGCGGACGATATGTCGAATCGTCTTATCCCGATCTTCGGGTGAAATGTACTGCGTTTCCGCCGCTAACGTCACAATCTTATCCAAATTGACCCCGGCGGAAGCAGTCAATATTCGCCATAGAATACACGGGACCTTAAACAACAAGGCCTGAAAAAGCAGAATCATTGGTACCCACTGGTAATACGTAATTTGACGATCTTCCCGAGCATGCTGGGATTTGGGGATATCGTCATCCAGGTGGACGTAGTACGTGTTCTGGATCCAGCAGACATTGTTCGTATAATCCACCATCGATTCCATGAATTCGGCTGGGCACCAGCAATGAATTGGTTCCCCAACATATTGCTTGGTGCTGACGACGATTGTAAAGATAATGAAGATGATGGTGGTGTACAGATGATTCAGTCTATCTATCCAATCGTCGTCATAACGGCCTTTCAGCCGGGCGTACGTGGCGAAACTCCCTAGAACACTATCAAGCCTGAAACGAAACAGAGATCATTCGGATTACATTTCATTTGGAAGAGTGTTTCATATTGTCAACAAATAAAAATGACTTTTGTTACATATTTAAGTTTTTTTAATATAAAACGACTGTTTACTACATGCTTATAGTATGAAGTGTAAATATATCAAACTGGTAAAACTTAAATCAGGAATATTAACCTTGGAAAATCAAACCATGATCTAAAATATTGATATTATTTACATGATTCATTTCTAGAAGTTATGTATTATTTCTATTTAAAGGGAATTGTTTGATGCTTTGATTATATATTGCATTTTGTGTTTAGTGTTACAAGATATTGTTTATGTGTTTGCTGGTGTGTTTTAAAATTTTGTTTTTACGTCTGTTTGTGTGATTATTTTAGGTGTTTGATGAAAAGTTTAAAAATTTTATGGTTGTTTGTATGTTGTTTGTAGTAGTATAATATTTTGTATAGTTTAAATTTTGATCATGTACATTTAATAAAATTATAGCACATTGCATTAAGAAAATAATTTGGTGTTTCTCAAAGAACAAGAAACTTAAGAAAAAGAATAACGAACAAACAGACATTTTCAATGGGAAATGAAATGATAAAACTCAAAGAGCAATTTATTGTTCGAAGATTTTATTGCTTCCATTCAAGGTATATGATTTAATATATACAAATAAACTAATAGCTTATCTATATCAATAATGACAAATATACTATCGATTCTGACAAACACAATTTATTCAGCATTTCTTTAGAATTGAAAATTCGTTCCATTCAAAATTTTCGTGCATGAAATGATCTGCCTATGATTTTTCATGTCTGAACATATTTAAACAAATTGTAAAAAAAAAAAAAAAAAAAAAAAAAAAAAAGACTCTTTTATTTAGCTTCAGGTCCAGGTGGTCTTTGAAAACAATTTTCGTCAAATATTTCTCAAAAAGCCCAATCTATACATCACAATGAATACCATCACGACTGCAAGGCTATTTGTATAACATTATTTTACAGCCTCTAATGGCTGCATTTGCTTTTTCTACAGGTCCACACAGTATTGATATTTCTATTTTATCGAATTCCAACTCATTTTACAAAACCTTACCGAAGTAATCGATAGATTGCTGGTAAAGTTAAGGCAGGGTACGTGTAATGAAACAAACCCAGTCTCCCTAAGCACGTGTTTTTTTGCATTGTAAGTTTCTGCATTGTTTTGCACAGAGAGCCAGGTAAAAATCGATCGGTTCGGGAGCTTGGTTAACCATCAGCCAATCGATTTAGAAATGTCATCGATCGTTTGAATTATAATGGAATCTGTCTTGAATTGATCCATACGTCACAATTTTTGCTTGTTACTTTTCATCTTTTTAATTCTTGACGGCTTAAATTTAGCATTTTTTAAGAACATTGCCTTCTCTGAATTGCTGAAAACGAGGAGTACCTCGTGTAGGTAATATCGGGATGTTATAGGTTTTGTTATTTTATCCAATGCATACCTTATTAGGTAATTATTACAAAAATAACACCAGTTGTCTCTGATGCGAAATTAGCCAATCAGAAACAAGCCAGTTCGAAACCAGCCAATCAATATTTTGCAATGTCTTCGTAGTGGGGTTAAGAAAAATATTTACGTATCAAGTCAGATTAGGTAACTGTATTAAAAAACCATTTAGTGTATTTTTATTATGTAATTCATATGATACACTAAAATTACAGTTCTTAAAGCAAGTAATACACCTATTACAACATGGATTTTATGAACACTGGGAGCAGAAGACACTGAATTAAAATACTTCTATCAAAAATGACAATAACGATTCATTCTTTCATTATAAAAAAATTGAATAGGAACAATAAAGTTTAAGCAACCTACACGAAAGCTAGATTCATAAAATTTTAGTTACCAACAATGTCAAAAGTTCTTGCATATTTGTTGATACTTTTCATTTTAATAGAAAATAAGATTACCTTTAATGTTATGAGAAAACGATTAAGATAATTAAAATTCATGGTACAACATCTGAAGCTTGTTCGTACAGCTCAGAGAGATTAAAATGAAATGAACCAGAAGGCTTTCATTGTAAAATACAGACTGAAAGTAATAATGTACAAAAATATGCTTAAAATTAAAACTCGGTCCATTAAATGAAAGCTCTAATAAAGAACCAGTCATTTCAGAAAGACGATTTTTGCTATGAAGATTTTCCGGTGAAAAGCGATTATGTCATGAATGCATACGGATGACAAAATCCATTTTTTATATATATCATGTAACAATGTAAAATTTGGATTTTGCTTTATAAACCAATTCTTGTGTGGCAGTTTTTTCTTTATTATTTCACGATTTTCTAAAATAGAAGGATACAAAATACATCAAAAACATTTGATGCATGGATTTATGTTTACTTTTGACTGATTTTTTGATAGAGATGCAGGTACAATTAATGAATTCCTAAGATACGAAAAAATACAAATTTTCTTTTACTATCGATATCAAAATACTTGTGCCATTTTATGAAAATCTCTACATTTTATGATAAAATGATATATTTTCAATTTCAATTTGGCAAATATTATTCAACTTATCTATTTGAACATATAAATCTATTACTGTAAAGTGCTAGTTTCTGAAAGAACAAAATTGAGATGTGTTGTTTGGAAACCTTTATTTTGGAAGAAGTAAAATATGAACTGATGTATATGGATACAAATGTCTTTTAACTTGACGTTGTAATTACTATTTTCTTGGTTAAATCAATTTGAAATTTTGAATTCAGCCAATTTTCAGTTTATGGCCATGTAGCCAAATCCATTACAGGAACCATAGGAATACATAGAGACATTACCCTAGTCACTTCATCACAGACTCCCCCGCTATACAAGTCAATGACTCGGGAGACTGGTTTGTCCACATCACCTTTCATTGAATCTTGATGTTTTGATTTTTTAAATGACCTTTTTACCGAGGTAAGAATAAACGTTTTTTTTTCCACAAACAACTATATAATTAAGATAAAGACCTTCTATTTTGCATGACAGTGATATCGTAGAAAAAGATAAAACATTTTTTTTTTTATTTCATCGAAGAGCATTCCTATCTTTTTCTTTTTCCTTTAGCATCTTTCGCTGAATCGGTGCCCGGAGCACGTGTTATTGTTGTTCGGCAATGATTTATCTAGTAATTATTTATCGATATTTATTCATGAAGAAACCAGTGATATTGAAACTAATGACAATGTGGAAATATGCAAATGATAAACCAATGACTCGGTTGAACAGGTCAATCTGATAAAGGAATCCGTTCTGTCAAGGCCTATTTGTTTACATTGTTTTTAAACACTCTCCAAAGAACAAACTGGGAAGCATTTCATCCTCCTTCTTGAGAAGTGTTTGCCTTAAATGTTTAAAAAATGACAATTTTCTCGCTTACATGCATATACCGATGTCTAACAACCACTCCATACAGTTGACGAAAAAAAAAATCCATACCCCATTTACTGAGTTTCTGTAAACTTTTGTCATTGTGAGTTTGACTAGATTGAAACTCAGAGAATTTACCTTTCAAATCTGAGCCAGTAGATCAAAATGAAACTTTCAAGGATTTTTTCACATACACACAAGCAACTGGACTCTTTTATGAACAATGGACTTGCAGGAATTCTTTGACCAAATCTGAAGGCACTACTGCTCATCCCAATTAAGATTTTATAACAGACTTTAGGATGGGGAGGGGACAATCCAAGTTATGTTTGATGCGGACGATCATCTACGAATTGTTAAAGCAGCACATTTACGTTAACTTCATTCGTTTTCACTAAAAAAAATATATTAAACACCTTCAAGAAATATACAACATAACACAAAGATTAAATCACTAGATTCTGTTGGGCGTATGAATACAAGAACTAATGTGCATATAAAACAAGTTCAAATAAACCTTCTGCTTAAGAGTCATATTGAATCATATTTTAATATATTAAAGTTATTACTGTCAGATATTTTTAAAATCAAGGATCGAATATAATCAAAATCTTTAAGCATTACGAACTCCTTTTCTTTTACGTGTGGTAGCTGTACCAATTGCCCTTTCATGGTAGTTATGAGATTTCATCTTCCAAAAATTAACAATTCAGTGCTTACTCATATTAAATAAAAAAGATATTCGTCACGGACTGCGAGATGTTTCTTTACCTTTAATTAAGTATTTATGTAACCTTGTGAAATAAGTAATCATTAATAAAGAAAAAAAGTAAAATAATGCGTGATGTGCCAGGATTCCAATATTGTGACTACATATTATTAAAAAAATGATTAAAATATATCAATCTACCTCTTCAAAAAACAAACTCTAATGAGTTATATACATTTTTAATTAACATTTCTCAGTTTGATCTAGGAATTTTACTCTGCATACAGAAATGGTAGTTTTCCCAATCTCCCAATGTGACTGCTTATAACTCGATGTTGCAAAATAAGTGTAAGTTCAAGAACCTCTTCGAAAGACATATACTAACTCAATTTAAGAGCACGGTACTTTTATAAAATTCTTATTTACAGAAAAAAAAATCGAAGTGAACTGTACATACAACAGGGATTTCTTTGAACATCAGGATACTTAAGCTTTGGTCTAGAATCAGATTTAATGGTGGAGAAACATGGAAGAAACGTATCAAGTGATTAATAATTCACAAGAACCATAAATCATTTCAATCATTTCTAGACACTGGTTTGTCGTTTAACGACGAAAATATATTAGATGCCATATGTGAATGTAATGAATATTTCAGCATGAGAACTTTGGTAATTAGTACCCGTCTTCCGAACAAGGGGATTGATTTTCTTCTCTTGAAGGAAAAGTTCGCCTTGGGAGAAAACCTGGGCTGCTTAATGGACGTTGCAAATGTCTGTTATTTGAAATCTTAATGTTTAATTTATATGTAATAAGAAATATGTCTATTTTTGAATTGATAAATGTGCTTGCTTTATTATTTACAGGAAATTACACGTTTTTTTTTCCCTCAAAACCTCCTTCCTTAATATGTTCGATTGTGTTACACAGTGTGGTACATGACTTACAATCGTACATTTATAAATACCAATATCTTTATACTCTTTGTGGTGCAGTATGAGTATTAATACATGAAATACATTGATATTTCTATCTATAGACATAATAACTAAAATTATTATATGATTGAATAATTCCCATCTCTCTGATTGGCTGAGATCCAACTATGCTAGAAAAATACTACCTGCACGTGACGTTCCAGGTCAATACAAGGATTTATTTCCTCTACATTGATCTAAAAATAGATCGGGATATTCCAAATTGATTTGGAAAGCTATTTAAACTAATATAACTTTTTTTTCATGTGAAGGAAACATAAGGGAATATATATTTTTGGGTGAGTGTGGTAAGAGGGGATGCAGGGACACTCCTCCAACACTTTCACTGAACAACAATTTTTCCTTTTTGGCAGTCAGTTTTCCCTGATAATACTCCTTCCTTTAAAAATTTATCCCAGAGAAAAGACTGACATAAATTTTTTTTTTCATGGCAACTAAAATTGATTAAAAAAACTTTTTAAAAAAATAATAAATACGACCTGTAAGGTCGATTAACATTTTAATTTTGCTTCTCTCTTAATTGTATTTGGATAGGACTTAATTAAATGCAAACAAGTGATGGGTTTTATCATTTTATTAGTGAATCATATAATAAAACAATTATTGCTGTGTTTTGAGGTCAATACAATGACTTAGCCATCTTCGAAAACAATATCCAGGCTCGGTGAATATTATACTCCTCAGATGGCTAAATCATTGTATTGACCTCAAAACACAGCAATAATTGTATAATATTATCATGAAACATGAAACACAGACAAGAGTTAGACTGAAGTATAATGCCATAGATATATCTTTTTTTTTAAAAACTGTTTTTTGTTTATTGGTAAGGGGGATAATTTTTGGATGAATAAAAATCACGTCTATACTGTTACGAAAAAATAAACTCAAGTGCAAGCAAAGATCATTGATAGCATTAAAAACATTTTGTTGTTTTTGTTCGAGAGCCTAGTTCATCTGTACTGTATTTATTTCATCTATAACAGCATGAATAGAACGTTTATACAATGTAATATACTAATGTTATCAATTAAATTATCTGAAAACAATACCCAAGAGACTATCTCACTCTATTTTTCTTCATCAGGTTTGCCTCGATATGAGACAACATGGAGCGAAATGATTCATAACGAGACTGCAATGGACTTCCACTGCATTGTTTGCAGATGACACGGTGTTTTCAAACTATTACTCAAATTTGCCAATCAATTTATTTAATCCATGAGAAATTGTTATCCGAAGCGAAGGGGAATCTCGTAATGTTTGAAACAATAAAGGAAAATGGAAATACAGATTACTTATCGAATACAAGCGAAATCTTATCCAAGAGTTCCCCATCGAACACAAGGGAATATTTATGGAACACTTAAAAAACGAATTCATCTGAATAGAGAGGTTATTAAGCACTTGGGAGAGCTAATGTTAGAAAATAACGAGAGCTCTACACAGAAATAGGCTAATTATGTTGACCTTTATTATTTATTATGTTTATAAAATATTTAAAAAAAATAATTTCACGTTCTTCTTCATTTTGATTGGTTGTCTTCAAGAATGTTGCAGGATCGTCTCCAAAGTAATGAGAATCAATCAATAAGAACCGAAGTTTTACTTATGATAAAGTGAAAAATAACCCCCATTATGAGCTGAATAGCAGAACTCTGCAGTATACAGATGAAGAAGTCCACTCAGTCGTTTTATCACAGGACGTTAATATCGTAAAAAGAAAACAATATCTGGTTTTCTTCTTGCTTAGTCTGTCATTCAGTAGTAAATCGAATGTCTTAATGTCCACTCGGGGGAGGGAGTATTGCAATTCTATATTTAGCCATTGAAGAGATGACCTTTTATTGACCGATGAGAAAAGGATAAAAAAAAATCTAATGATTCCAAGCTTTTACTGTCTGATTTATAATTCCCAAAATCTACTCTCAAAGAAAAAAAAACACTGGTAACTCAAAGATACTGAATTAACTTTCATTTCATCTAAGCTTATTGAACTCCTTCGCACAGAAATCTTTTTTTTTCGCAGAAAATGTGATTATAATTAAATGAAAACAAATTAAGATCGCTACAAAGAGTGTATACAGAATTCATTCACCGCCAACTTGCCAAGTTCTTTCATTAATCAGGAATTGGACCAAGCCTTGTATCCATACTTCTTTAAGATCAATGGTGAAAAAGGACATAACACAGGGAGAAACCCTTAATTTTCTGTAAAAATGTCAAGACATTGTTCACCCTTATTGATTCCCGGGAAACAATACACAGGCTTTTGCCCGTTCAGGTTAGAGCATTGTTGCTACTTTATTGAATAAGTAACTCTATAAATGCGAAATTAGAAGTGGATTAACAGATCATTAACATTATCAGGGAAGAATAAATTGGAGGACAGACAAAGGATCAACATAAAGGGATGGTGAAATTGTAAAGGACAGAAGAGGAAAAACGACCACGTGGGAAAAAAAGATATATGTCACGTGCCTACACATTTTGAAAATTAAAATCACATCTCTTCAAGTTTTTTTCATTAATTAATTAGGAGCTGGAAAGTGATGATTTTTTGAATACAAAAAATCTCTAAGCAATGCAAATGTACATTATGTACTGAACTGCCAAATAAAATTAGACATATAGGAATCTGAGCTGTTGATGCTGAATGGAGTTGTGTACTTTTGTATGGTTAATTTGTTAAAGTACTTAATACTCGTCAAGACTCATTAAAAATTCCATTATCCCAACTTGAAAAAAATCCACAGTACATTTCCTCGAAAATTGCAATGCGCACACAATTATCGATAGACACATGTAATTGTCATGAATTACACAATTAAAAGTGCATGAATATTATCAATTCATGACGGGCATGGGCGTTCTGGGATAGGACACTTTCAGGCGACTGACCTAATACTGCTGCAAAAGGCATTCGACGTTTGTAAGTACCTCAAACTCACGTAACTGTACTGGGCAGCCTATGAAGGCGACCTTCCGATTAAACTAATGGACATGCACACGGAATACTCAAGCATATCAAAGGTACCTTTAGAAGCCCGCCACTTCAAAGACTCATGCATCTGCAGAATCTTTTTTTTCCACTTTCAGATTTATGTTTGCAGGAGGGCAAATGGAGTAATCAATTAAAATGTCTGTAGATAATTATGTCATTTTTATGATATCTTTCCTCAAGGGAACAAATTTTCATAAACGAAATGTAATTCTTTTTCCCCTCAAAAAATGATCATCGCGTCGATTAACTGAACAACACATTTAACCTATGTACATTGCGTTAATTGGATGCTTTGTTATACCTGAAGCAGACTCCTTTCAAGGATTTCATTTAATGTAATTATTTCCATCGATAACCGAAGCTAATTGTTCTCCATGTTGAACAAGATGATTAGACAAAAATTTCACCTTTGCAAGAAAAGACGGAAAAAAGAACAAGGAACTGGCAGAAAATCGGTGAAGGTGACAGTCACATCTTTGCACCCCGGACTTTGTGTCTATACAGGCGAGGTTAGCATGAACGTGGGCGATTATCTACTGGAGAGTCCAGTGGAGAACGTCCACTCCGCAATACCATACTTATAGAAAGATGACCAAGTGTTCTTCACAATGTAAGATCAACTTCTCTAACATATTTTTAAAATTCTGCTCCATTTGTCAAAAATTATGGTCACATTTAAAATTTAGCCAAAATGCCATTTGAAAGGATTGTGAAAAGAGGAGAGAGGGAAGAAATACCTAAATACATTCACTGTGCAGGGGGACTTGACCGTATTGGCAAGGTGTCCGCTTACCTACGTCATCTATACCTTCATTTACTTACATCATTTCTTCCTCTTTTACGTATAATTCTTCTTTGGACACAGATTTCTTTCCAAAGAAGGTGCATTTCATCGTTGACCCGTGTCGACAACAGGAAAACCTTGGCTAAAACGAGGGCACATTCTGATTAAGCCCAGAGAAGCAGTCCTTAAGTATAAGGCCCGTGATGGCAGAGAAGAAGGACTACAGACACGATTAATTAAAATTATTTTTCGGTCAATCACCACAGCAGAGACTCGACATTTTCTGTTTAATCCCTTAATATGATCAATATTTCGGTGAAGAATCTTTCTCAGAAGACGGTTATTCCTTGGCTACAAAAAATCCCAAGGGAAAGCTTTTCATGTGCGATTCCTCATCCAAACTGGTTAGAGAGAACAAAAATTTACATCCTCGCACAATATTAAACACTTTAAAATTCAAGTTTTGCACATTAATAAATACTGCCTGGCCAAATTTGCAATTTCCAGATTCCTATAATAGATCACGTACAATAATGTTGGTTACTCATGCATTTAACCAGCAACCAATAGAACAAAACTCCACAAAGGGAATAACATTCAAGCGGGACACAACCTACTCCTGTATCGATGTTCTAATCCTGGGGAGCATGTTTGGATTTGTCTACATCACTCACGCTGACTGTAACAAGAACCTTTTGAAAAGATGCGCGGCAGTGGCATCGAGGGAAAAAGGTAAATGACTAAAAACAATATGATGAGTCCGTAGGCAGCCCCACAAACGTGTCACAATAGTACGGTAATCAATTAAATCCTATACGAGGTCGCGTACACGTCCAGGCAAATGCAACAATAGGTCTTGGTAAATACTAAAGGTATATACCCGAATCACATCAATATTTAACACAGTCTCCTCCCGGACAAACTTTAACGATTTGCTTAAACAATGTCAGATCCATAGTTCTATTGTATCCTAACAAAGCTGCCTGAAACTTAGTTGCTGAAGGTCCTGTATTTATAAAAACCCATACATGAAGAGCCAATAAATTGTTTTATTCGATTATTCCTGTTAATGTATCGGATATGAAGCGAGCTCGCTTTAGTATCGCAATGTTTAAATGAGTAAAAATTCAATACATCTTACTTCATGAAAATGCGTTCCCATATCTGTTCAAGAGATCGATCATATATCGATCCACGTATCGCATGAATTAAAGAAATAGAATTTGATTGCTTCTCATAGAAGTATATCACTGAATTTTATCCGGCGATACGAGCCAGCTTCAGAAACCTGCGCAGCAGGCCAAATTTTCAAACTTGTGGCAACAAAGACGTGTGGCCACGAAACGACAAGATGCTTTCAGGTGAACGCTTGGAAAATGAGTATTGATTACGGAGAACAGGGAGCTACAATTACTGCAGAATTCCTGGGTTGGTAATGTTGTGTAAAACACATTTATTATTTACCGTATATCTGGCACTATCTGGCGTTGTGATTGTTTCACAAATCACATGCATCTGTCGATTGACACTTTCACGTATTGTCGCACGAACGTTTTATTGACTATGGTGACCGACTGGGAGAGAAGGGTCCCCAGACATATCTTCCAGCAATTAGCTTTTCACGGTGACTGCGCTTGCAATATCAAACGAATGACTTTCACATTTACCAAAGGATTTGTTCTGTTTTCGCAAAGGGGTTCTGTGAAATTACAGAAAATCCAGTAACTTTGTTAACATCAACTGGAGGACAGTTTTAATCCCCTAAAACTACTTTCAGGGCCATTATTCATGCAAGCAAATTGGTATAAATAAACATCGTCCATAATAAATCTTGTCCCCTGCTTAATAATATGGTGCTTGCCACTTAAATCACTTTGTTAGGATCAAATTTACATAAGTCGGGATCGGAAATCAGTCCACGTCAGCTCTAATTGATGTTACCTCCTCCGCCACTGCTTTTCTCCCGACGCCATTTAATATGGGTGGTAAAAACAATTTTCATTTGGCGCCTCTCGTGTTAAATTCAATTTTCCATGCAGCAAATACATTAATAGCTTACCAAGTGCACATGAAGTGTGCATAAGAGATTTGGTTAAGCGCTGTGTAATTTTTAAGTGACATTCATTGCATGAGGATTTGTTTTGTTTCCTTTTTTGTTGGCGATGTGGTTATAAGAAGGCATAAAAATATCCAAGCTTCTATAATCAAATTCTGACATATATAAGCAGTGCATTTTCACCTTATTCGTCCATTTTTCCCCCAAAATCAAGAGAAAAGAACATCTAAGCCTGTTTGAAGCAAAATGCGGCACAGATAATTCCAGCTATTGGCTTGAGAAATTGGACCAAACATACATGCCTTTATTGGTCAAAAACCTCATTTGAGAAGATAATAAACGGTCCATATTTAAAATAGAGGCTCACGGACCTTAACTGTGACCTGAGTATAATACAACCCTGTTAAGGCTTCACAGAAACATAAAATGAAAACAAAATAACCTGGAAGATGGAACCTGAACGCCCAAGAGCAAGACAAATACGTTAATGAAGCACCAACAATATTAGTCTAGTTCTCAGTAAAAAATCTTTAAGTGCATTTACTTGCCTGCCTGTCCTTGTCCCTCTTTGTCAGTATCATCATTCAAACAAATAAGTATAGTAATATTGAAACTCGTATCATTCCCTGAGGGTGGGGAATTTGTCATAGCGTTTGGAGTAGGGAATAGTTCCTTATGTCGCAGGTTCGCGTCCGAGTGCAGGACGTGAAGATTTGTCCTTCGAATGAGACCGTATAATCTGAGGTCGAAATAGGTGCTGGCACAAAAAAGACCTCTCGCTGCTCAAAGGCAATTAACGAAAGATCTCCACCCTACCACCAGAAACCCTGACCCGGAGTCCATAAATTTACAATTTTGATAGAGATCCGACCAAATGCTTATAAAAAAGTAAAATGTTTGACTTTAGAAGTAAAGATGTTTAAAGATATCACTAATTTTGATGATTTTAGCCCTACTCCTTAGGCCCAGGGGGAAGAAAGGACCATAATATTCATATTTTTGTACCTCCTCACGTATTTATACTTTATGCTAACATTGGTGTTAATGGGTGAAGTGATTTTGATTGAATATTGTTTAACGTCCCTCTCGAGAATTTTTCACTCATATGGATACGTCACCGTATGCCGGTGAAGGGCTTCAAATTTTGACATTTACTCGGCATTTAGGCCATTGAGCAGTGAGGGATATTTATCGTGCCAACGCCTGCCGCGGTTTTTAAGGTCTCATCCGAAGGACCCGCAACTTTCACTTCAAAGTGCCGAGCGCATGGCGAAGGAACAGTTGCTACCCATTTTATCGACTGGGTCAGTCGCGGCCGAGATACGAACTCACGACCTCCCGGTCACGGAGCGAGCGCTCTACCGACTGAGCTACCGTGAACGGTATGAAGTGATTTTGTGCCTCGGTTCAAAGTTGGGTGACTCAGATGACGCGCAAAAAATAAAGGAGTCAGGAATCATAAAATTAGCCCCCCCCCCCCCCGAATACATAGTAAATCATAAAAAACTATAAATGTATTTGCCCTTTGATATTGCCCTTGAGTCGGGGTCATGTCCTCAAAGCTAGCTGCAAATCTAGCTCATTGATAAGAAATCGGAATTAGAATACGAAAGTACGACAAGTAAATGTAGTTAAATACTTAAAAAAAATATATTTATTCTACACGATTAACTGCGCACAATCAGTGACTGTCGTACTTTTACAACGAAACCTTAACCACAGCCATATTTAATAGCTCTCCTGGGCCGGAAATTAAGTTCATAGAAACATTGGAAAGTCAACCACTGTGACACTGACACTGTTGAATGCCTTTGTTTCAAGGGTTAAACATACTTTAAGGTATTAAGTAACAAAGAACTGGATTCTTATGTGTAATCATTGCAAGATCTACACTTCCAATCTCTGTGAACTTAACTTTTCATACTTATTGTTGGGTCATTATTTACACGCTTAATATTGTCGGAGGACATTTTCGTTATTTCTCGATCATGACAAGGAGCACACGGCGGGTTTGACCGGTCGGTAGAAAATACTCACTCCTTCATGGCACCTGATCCCCCTGATCTGATGTTTTGGAGGTTGTGTTTGCTCTGCTCCAAATTTGTATTGTTTAGTGGGCTTTTGAGCTTGAGTACTGTTCGTTATCTTCATATATTTCACGTGTTTAATTTATCTTAGACCAAAGCCACAATAATCTTATTTATTCACCATTTGAATAAAAGTAAACTCTAAGTTGTGAGAGATAAAAAATATAGACACATAGAGAACTTCTTCCACTAGACAATCTTCAATCTAAGTGAGTATCAAAGACATTTTCTAAAATAAAAAAATTATCTTTGCTAAAAGAAGGGTATCACTTATGGTCAGTATTTAGTTTCATAATCATTAACGTATCGGTAAATATCGGAAAATATTTTAACATGTCTATCTGGAAAGTTGTCTTTAACAAATATTCACGAATAACAGGCTTTGAGATTTGTCCCTTTTGTTGTTAATAGATTTAAGGGGACTTGTACATTAGTAAATTAATATTTTTTTACGATGACATCTATTTTTAAACTCTAATTAAGGAAATATTACAAAAACTAATCCGATTTTTTCGGTCAGTCGTTCGAGATCGAGGTTGAAAGGGGATCATGATTCTGGACCATCAATTAGTCTTTCCTGCTTTTGGGGGATGTAGACCAGCTCAGTATATAGGTTGGATAACCAAGGTTAGGATGAGTGAATTCATTATTGCTGTGTTATTGAGTTTGAGTGAAAGAACAGTGGAACTCTCCTGTGTCAGTGAAACATCGATGCCAACAAAGCAAATATTATCAATCGGCAATATTTGAATTTCATCATGCGGAATTGCACTTGACGACTAATGCCATTTTTTCTACAGTCAGAAATACAGAATTATAATATTTTGATTTTTTTGGCACTGTTTATGCAGAAAACACAATTTAATTGTAAAGATAGCAAAAGTTTCAAACCATACGAACGTTTTTTTTATTCTTTCAAACAAATATGGTAATGATGGCGTAGAGGCTGAATCAAAACAGTAAAGTTTGTATTGTTTACATATACGCAGACTTTTAGAGGTTCCCAGGTACACATCAGCACACTGGAGGGTACAGTGAGTCACATTCTGTCATGTTGTTGCAAAAGGGATTGACTAAAACTGTGTCATCAACAGATGGTAGATATTTAATTGTTTTTAATTATTAATGAATTCTTTTGTGACTAAGTTAATTTTAGTATATAGTTATAAAAACAATAACAAAAGAGATATTGATCATTGGTTATAAATATGCTTAAATTGCTCAATCCTTTTGAACTTTTGGATTTGTTCAAAATAGAATAGAGTAAATATGTCTTTTGTTATTATAGTATGTAATAAACAATCTATTTAGGCTTTTAAAGAGCCATAACTAATGAAAAGAACAAATAGATTCCATGACTAATAATTTGCAATACCCAAAACATAGGATTGGTGAATACCTCAATCATTTACAAAACTGGCATTTATTGCAAATGTCTTCCACAATTGAATTAACAAGAAAATTGTGTAAATTATTACAATATTTAACATGCAGATACTGCCAATTTAATATTTAAATGCCCTCTATTAAATTCTTTTCCTCTTAAATAAAAACAAAATTATAAAGGTAGAAACACACCATCCATGGTGTATTGTTTAACGGACTGGCTTGAATATTGTTCGTTATCTCCTTATATTTTATTATAATCAGAGGGCTTAATCTTAAGACTTTTACGGTACCTATTACAGAAGACAACTAAAAACAGAAGAATTAAACTATTATAGAATCACTTTCTGAACTACACACTTTGACTATTGACTAATATTTGAGGTGTTCTTCCCCCCCAAAACTGGACTTCGCTATTGTTCATATTTTAGTCGAATATCATATCGTAAGGTCAGTGTTTTTTTTTTTTATTTTACAGTGCAGCTTGTGTTTATGATAGCTTTATAAGTTTGAA